TTGAGCGTAGCTTCCAACGATATTCACCAAGATAAATTACTCTCATCTTCCGTAATTTACCGATGATGTTGCACTTGGTCGTCATAAGCAACATTCACCTAGTTTGCATGAAATGTGTTCCAGGTCTGAGACATCAAGGTATTACATACCTTATTATTGTACGGATTGTTACACCGGATTCGAACTGGAATCACGTGTTGGTAATTACGGGAAGCCATAGTTGGGTACGATCATTTTGCGGTAATCTTATTTAAAAGTAATACCAAAGTTTGCCAAAATTACTACTAAGCTTTCATTTGTTGCAGCACAGCATTTGCTACGGATGCAGTGATGGTCTGTCAGCCATTTCTAAACTGTTCTGCTGCTCATTGCTCGAGCAGAAATAGCGTTTTGCAACATTTACCGGGGTCAATCTTGAAATTCTTTACTCAAGCTCACCTCTACTTGATTGCCAGTCAAGAAACCAGCCCTTGTGACCTTCATCACTGCTCTTCCTGTCAAAGATCGATGTTCACCCGTTCGGCAAGGGTCTATACGAAAATACAATAGTGGATCGGCTTTATATCCAGCAAAATGTCAAAAAGCTCGCAGTAACGACCACAAACTGTATGTTAAGAGCACCATGTATTTTAGTACAACTACTCTGGATTCATTAGACGATGTACTTAAATTTCAATAATTTTGTTGCTGCTCGACTAAACAGCGCATGCGTCTAGAGGACACCACATAAAGAGAAATCTGTACTACATGAAAGCACATCCAAAACGCACGAAACAATCACAATTTTGGAAAGCGCTCTACTAAAAGCATACAATGGGTTGCACCCCCAGACCCCCGCATAATAAAAATACATGAACTGGAAAGTGTAACGGGTCCGTGCGGTGGTGAGCTTGTCACTGGGCCCGCCTACACAAATACCGGGCGGCCCTACTTTGCGAGCACCCCGCTCAGATTTGCATCGGTTACACTCCTCGCATCCACTCACTAGCATATTTTAATAATGTGTGACTAACCTCTCTTTGTGTGTTCCTGTGAGGTATTCTGTGTTGTATATTTTCCTCGTACTACATGAGTTTACTGGTACACGTAGTACTTAAGTATATAACAACGGAGAGCGAGATAGCGCTATCTGAATTCATTAATGATTATCATATTCAATGTGCTCAGATCTCCCCCAATTTGGTTTCTCGTCACCGGCCGCAATCTCTTACTTGTAGACACGGTGATTCTGGACATTCCAAAGATCAAGATTCTGGTCGCCATGAATGATATCGTGTCCTATTCGTTCCTTGAGGGTGTCCATGGAATAGTCTTCCCGCTTCTTGAACATCTTACGCTCGGTGTCTACAGTCTGGTGCAAAATTAAAGACGCACCAAATATAAGCACTTAACCAGCTAGGCACTAGCTTTTCGTTTTCAATGAGCGGGCAGCTAACGTTTTTTAAACAACTTCTGCTGAGCCAGGAAACATCCAAGCATAGACCAAGTGACGTTATGTGTAATTGCCAAACGTTCATTTGTCATCTGGTGCTAATTTATAGACGTACTCGACTATATTTCGGTTTTCTCCAAACTGGTTAGCCTATTGTGCAAGTTTTGATAGTAGAGTTTTCCCTTCATATTCTTCACGTTCTGGCGCCATTTCACGCTCTTGTTCTTCGCCAAAACATGCCAAAGGCACGCTTCTCACACCAGAAGAGAAAGGTAAGGTTCTGGCCTACCGAGACTGCAATCTAAGTAACAGAGCGATCGCTGCAAAGATTGGCGCAGCGAGAAAGCCATTCGAACCTTTCTAACGCAACGAGTGAGCATAAGTTCCCCTAAAAAGCGAGGCAGAAGGCTAAAGTCACTCATCGGCACGCTCGGCGCATCTTCAGCTTGCATTTCACAAGAATAGATCATCACCAGAGATCGCATTCTACTTGGGAGCGTTGTCAAGTATTCTGCCGTGCTAAGAATGCTCAAGGCGTCCAAGTTCGCGAAATTTGCTAAGCGAAAACCCGCCCCGGCCATCAAGAAACACTGCAGAAAAGCTCGTCTTGCATTTGCTCAAAATAAAATTGGTAAGAGCACGTACTGGCGACGTGTTGTGTTTACAGATGAAAAAAATTCAATTTAGATGGCCCTGACGGCTATCGCTACTACTGGCATGATGTACGACAAGATCCTGAATTGTTCTCGAAGCGGGTGAGTGGCGGAGGAAGTGTCATGACTTGGACTGGCGTCAGCTAGCACGGTAAAACGAAGCTGGTCATTCTAGAGGGCCGTCAAAACTCCATCGATTACGCTAAGACGCTGCGTGAGAATCTGCTCCCCTACGTTGAAGACCTCCGCACAAATAACCAGGTTTCTCGAC